AAAGTTGAAATTGTCTTAAACTAAAAATAATATATATTATAAAATTTTATTATAATAAATAAACTACTTTAATTTATATATTCTAAAAATTTAATAAAAATTTGATACATTTTTAAAAAATTTTATTAGTAACATATTTTTATTTGCTATGTAAATCTAAATTTACTGCACAGATCATATGAAAAATAATCTACATGTACTCCACCAATCTGCATCGTTGCCTGAACTCGATAGATAATTAACCATTAATATACTTAAATTACTAAGGTGCCCTTTTCCATTGGCGGCACTCATATGTTTTAATACGAAAAGGTTAACTAAATATTTTAAATTTTAGAACAAAATATTATCGCAGAATACTATTTGACTTGGTAACGGATTATTAAATAATTTTAACGGAAATAAACTTGGGAAAAATGCACTAATCAGATGATTTATACTGATCAAACAATTGAATATACGCAATATGTTTAAAGTAATAAAACCTTATATTAGAGTTAGGATAGACTAAAGTAAAGCGTCTTATACATTAAGATTTGCATAAAAAATTTTAGTTTATGCGCAGAAGTGGTTTCATAAACAAAATTTTTTATCGGCATTTTTTAAATTTTTGCATGATGAGCTGGCTTGTAATATAATTATTACATAATCATTTCAAGATCGGAAATTTATTTTCGTAGTATTTCCCTTTAGTCAGCAGTTTCCAAAAATTGCTGAAAGTATCTCTATACTAAGAGATCTAAATATAATTTTTTAGTACAACTTCAGATACTTGAATTTGCAACTTTCAGAACGTACTAACTTCAGACAAAATATTAGTTCTTATTATATAATATAAAATACTACGTATTTGGTTACAGATACTAATGTTTTTTTTTAAAATATTGAAGCACTCTTATTAGTAAATAATTTTCCAATATAAATGCTATTTGTAAGTTTGAAAGTTTCTTGCCAAATACGTTATTCTATTTGGTCTGAGACTTGCACATAAATTGAGCTCTAGGATATACAATTTACTTATGTGATTATCATAGAATTCAATCTCATAATTTATTCAAATTGTCAGTGAAGTGACAGTTATGCACTTGTCTAATTATAAAGAATCATAAAAGTAACAACCGAAATTTTACATTGAAAAATTTAATTTAATTTAATTGGAATTGACCTAAAAAGTTGAAATTTAGATCTCGTTCTCTAAAGTTAATTTGGAATAAATGTTCTATAAAAAGTCAATTTGGAATAAATGTTCTCTAAAAAGTCAATTGAAAATGAAATTTATCTTGTAAGATTTGTAATTCTTTTCCATTTGGATTTTTTTTTTTTTATAAAAAATAAATAAATAAATTAAGGAATTGTACTCACTGTTGAAAAATTCATGCGAACGGCTAAAGTTATAAAGCCAATGAAAGACACGATTTTACTCTGTTAATAATAATTAAAAATGAAATTAATGAAAATTATTAGCATTAATGAGGTATGAATATTAAAGAAAATTAACAATATTTACATTCTGCAGGTTCATCTATTAAATTATAAATGTTAAGTGTCATTCAAATTATAAAACGCTGACATAAACATAATAATGTAAGATGACAACTTACCGCCTGGTAATTTAAGAAAGCAAAAAAAAAGGTTAAATTTATTAGGAAAATAACAATTAATAATGAACTGGCATAAATATTTATCTATAAAGAGAACTTACGTTCTAGTGATTAAATAATATATATATAGTTAGTTTAATAAACTAGCATAAACATTGATTTATAAGTATGATAACTTACTGCCTGTTGTTGTATAGTATGTTTGATAAGTAATTATCATATTAACTTTAAATCAATGGGGTCTCTTACCTTGAAAATGACTTTATAGGATATAGTAATTACTATGTCCTGTAGGATCATTTTCAAAGCAAAGACCCCAAATAATAAAGCAAAGAATGTACTTACATTCTATCATTTAGGTTCAATAAAAACACATGTTAGTTTAAAAGATCAAAATTATAGGGCTTAATATTAAATTAAGGTAGGACCCAAATTTTATAAGAGCCCAAAGATTGTTCATTGGAGTGCGCAACACCCTAAACTACGTATATTTGTCATATAATAAAGTTAATGATTTTTAAAACTTATTTTAGATAGCGATCGGTAGGTATTAGTTTTATACGTATATATAATTATTGCAAATTTTAAATAAATACACAGCCCTGGTTCGATAAAATGTCACACAAGACCAATACCACGTCTTTACAAAGCTATAGAGCCATTTTTTTTTAAAAAAAAAACCAAATTAAATTCTTCCTTGCCTTTTGTTTTTGTTTAGAAAAAAGAAACATAGTACATATACTAAAAATTTTATGTTTTAATAAAGAAATGGCGCTTGTAGAGACATAATATTGGTCTTTGCGAAATTTTATCCAAAACTATCGAACCATTAGAGGCATACGTATAAAACTAATATATACTTATAGACTGCTATCTAAAAAAAAAAAAAACCATTAATAAAATTTTATTATATGACCATACATAGGTTTGATTTACATAGTGTTCCGCGATTAAACCTAGGTGCCTCACAAAAAATGTGCAGATGATCCTCGATTTTGATTGGCCAGGCCAAAAAATTTTTACTAATGAAATTTCAGTCAACCATTAAGTGAAAAATGTTCCCGGCTAACTTCGCCATCGGACAGGCCCAAAAATTAAAAATTCACATTTTTGGAATTAAAAAATTAATTCTGGCCAAAATTATGTATAATACAGGCCGGAAGTTTGTCGATCACAGACATTGGCCAATCAAAATCGAGGATAGCCCGTGCATTTTTTGTGCGGTACCTTGGTTTAATGTATGCCGTGCACCCATTGCTTCATGTAAAAATTGACTGTTGTATTGAATATACGTACTACGAGTAGGATCTGGAGATTTAATTCGATATAAAATTAATGAGAATTTTTATGAGAAATAGGCTTTAAAAAGTTATCTAATAAACTTACCAGTGGAAGGACAAGCTAATTCAATTAACCATATCAATATATGAATTGTGAAAGATTTGAGAATGAATTGTATATGACAATTGTATAAACTTCATTATATTATTTAATAATGGTTGATATAACTGAGACAGTAAACCTTTACTTACTATCATCATCTAAAACGCTTGGCACTGGACTAGCCACTGTAGTTGAAATGAAAAAAATCAAAGCGAGAACCAACAAGAAATAATATTTTGGTGACATCGTTTAGTATTTTAATTTTGAAAAAATGTCAAATATTTTGCAAAATTGAAAGTACAATATCCAGATCTTTTATACTCGTTAAAAGCATATATATTTTAAGTATTTGTTGTTTAGAATGAATACGTAGGCTAACGTGCATTAACTGTTAAGTACGGATGTACGTACGCCTTGCCAAATCTGACGATGCTGAATAAATACAAACAAGCTTTCATAATAATTTATTAAATTTAGGGTAGTAATAATCAAAACAATCACAGACCTAAAAAAAAAAAAAAAAAGACCTCATTGAACTTAGCGTTAGGAATTGCATGATTGCCTAGTTTCGGATCCGTAAATGCTGGACACGCTGCTATTAAAACATAGTGGCAAACATGGGCACGGGCTTAGTATCGTGCCTGGTACTTGCAAAGCCTGATAGTAAGATGACATGAAAATTTAAGCATGAGCACGGGCTTAGTACCATGCCTGGTACTTTCAAAGCCTGATAGTAAGATGACATGAAATTTGAATCCTTACGTGACTTATAGGTGGCTGATGCTGAAATTTGAACCTATTTTGATATCGATATGAAATTTAAATTTGGACGGTGTTTTTTCTCGCTTTCTTTTTAGGGTTGGGTTAGGATTTTGGGCTAGAATTGATAAATAACGGACTCCTATTTTAAAATCGAGACCCCAAATTTCAGAATCTGCCGCGACATTTCTTAATATATAAATTTTGCATTATAATTTCAAACATAAATTCTGCTGTGCATAAATCTGCTAACTAAAAAATATTTTTGCCTATTGTTTTCATAACGATAAGATAAAATGTGACATCACTTTTAAAATCAAATACAATATAAAGAAAATAAATTTTTTTTGACATATTTAGGCACCGCAGAATTCTGAACTCAGTACCTGCATCTAAGTTACACTTGCCTAGAATTGCCTCATTGAATAAACGTATCGGTATAATTTCATTGAATAAGCCTAATATATACGTATCGGTTGAATAAACCGATATATTATATCCATTGTTTAGAAAATCACATGAGAATAATTCCTTGGATCAAAAGCAACAACGGAATCTCTTTATGATACAAGGCGTATATGCATACGTATTACTACGTATATTACCAAAAAAATTCGATGAGTGTACAATGTATTAGGAATGTTAAATTGCGAACCCGGTCCAAGGACCTGAAACGACGGTCCCAGATTTGATACAAAAAAAAAACCGTTAGTTGATCAGTCCTAAGATCGGATCCTAAACCGCAATTACTGAATAAGTTCCTCCAATAAAATACATTGTTAATCTAAATGAACGAATTCAATTCAGAATCTAAGTCCTATATAAATATATTATGTTTTCATGTGATTTAAGGATCAGTTAGAACTCAATCCCAAAGGACTGATTAACATCTCTGCAATGTATACTGTACGTACGTACATAGATATCTAATAATTCACACCAAATATTTATTATCAGCATAAGTTATTTAACTTAAATATTTTATTATCAAAAAATTTCAAATCACACCGGTACTCAATACCATATAATTTTTTAAAGTATATTTTTTTTTAAAGTAATTTTGTTGCTAATATATAAGGTTAGGGATAAAAATTTAGAAGATATAGACCAAAATTAGAACTAAAAATAAACATTAGAGTATATATATATAAATGAAATTTGTTTCGGAATTTTACTTCTCAGCCTTTTTCGCGTTTTATGTTCAGATTGCAGTTTTTACATTACGATGCGGTGCTATAGCTCTACAATAATCTCTTATTATAAATATAACCCCATTTGATGATAAATTTTCAACATTTTGATTTTGAATTCATAATCATTTTCAGTTCTTAATGATTTATCTAAATCTATAATTGCTTTTTTATGATTTTTTAATGAGTAATATACCATCCCTCGAATTCTCAAAGCAAATGTATGATTTGGATCGATCTTTAGTGCTTTGTTTAAATCTTTAAGTGCATCATCCATTTTCCATTGCCTTCTGTAAACATCTCCACGAGTAGTTAATCCCCATATATCGTCTGGTATTACTTTTAATAATTCGTTTATATCATCAAGTGCATCTTCATATTTGTCTAACACTCCGTAGAGTCTACCTCGCATTGTCAATGCAAACCTATTTTTGGGATCAAGTTTTAGTACATCATTTAAATCCTTAAGCGCTTCTTCATATCTACCCAAAAATCTATATATATTTCCACGAAGTCCTATATAGCATGGATCTGGATAAATGTCTATTATTTTATTTAAATCAACAAGCGCATCTTCATACTTCTTCGTCATTCTATAAATTTCAGCACGTTTATGTAATGAATGTATATGATTTGGATCGATTTGTAATGCTCGATTCAGATCTTCAAGTGCTTTATCCAATTCATCCAATGCTATATACGAAGTAGCTCGATATCCTAACGCAAACACATCATTTGAATTAATTTCTAATGATTTCCCAAAATCCCTTATTGATTCCTTATATTGCTCTTTAAGTCGATAAACGTCTCCACGACGACTCAATGCAAATGCATTATTTGGTTCAATTTCTATTGCTTTATTTAAATCTTCAAGCGCCTCTTCATATTTTTCCAGGAATCTGTAAACATTTCCACGAACCGTTAACACATAAGCATTGTCTGGATCAATTTCTATGGCTTTATTTAAATTTTTAAATACTTCTTCATATTTATCTTCCTGAAAATAAACTTCTCCACGAACTCCTAGCGCATAAGAATTGTCTGGATCAATTTCTAAAGCTTTATTTAAATATTTAAGTGCTTCTTCAAAATTTTCCTTTTTTAAATTAAATTCTCCACAAACATCTAGCGCATAAAGATTATCTGGTTCAATTTCTAAGGCTTTATTTAAATCTTTAAGCGCTTCATCATATTTTCCCCATCTTAAATTAATTTCCCCACGAACTCCTAACGCATAAGCGTTTTTTGGATCAATTTCTAAGACTTTATTTAGATCTTTAAATGCTTCTTCATACTTTTTTTGTCTTGCATAAATTCCACCACGAATCCATAAAACATGTACATTGTTGGGTTCAATATCTAATGATTTATTTAAATCATTAATAGCTTCACATTTGTTCGAGATTCTGTGAATATCACTCCTCGTCCTAATTGATTGTATATTATATGGATCGTTTTTCATTATTATAAAATATTGCCAATTTTTTCCTATCCTTTATTTGAAGAAAAAATTTCTTTAAAAAAAAAAAAAACCAGAATTTCAGATTACATACGTGCGTACATACAAATATATAAATGATGTATTAAGTACCCATCAGTAAATGGATTACCCAATAACATTTCACTTGGTGGGTAGGATAACCAATTGATTTTAATAATCATGCAATAACGATAACATATATATTCGAGATGCAATTGATGCAGTCTATATATTTTTTAACAATAGCTTAGAATAGAATTTTTATGCACGGCGCAACAATTTAAAACCTATAATCTCTATTTTCGAAATTAAGGTCTAAATTCGATTTTAATAAAACAGTCCTCAAAATTTCTCGCTATATTTTTAAACACGGGGTCCCTAATTTAGACCCAAGTTCGCAAATCCGCCAATATGTATAGACAATGGATCATATTCCCTAAATTATTGACTTAAATAATGTGTTCTCTATTGAAGTCGATAAATTAAGAAAATATTATTTATTATACTACGTTAATCCGGAAAGCTGATCCGTAGTACATGATATGCGCGAATATTACACGAAAGAAAGTTATTCAAATATGCAGGAGTTGTGCATAATCCCAGAGATTATGCTAGAACTTTCACTACTAAAGTTGCAACTTTTGTAGTATTGACGTAAGTCGTAATATAAGTAGCGGGTATTATAATATGTCGTAGGTCGTAATAGAAGTAGTATGTATTAAATAGTGTCGTAGGTCATGATATAGGTAGTAAGAATAATTTAATGTAATATAATGCCAATAATTGAATATGTTATAATGCCGTAATGTAATATAGCATATTTTATAAATATAAGAATTCATCATGACAAAAAATAAAATTAAAAAATTTTTTACTCTTTAATAATAGCAAGTTTAAGTCATGAAATAGATTTACTTTAAATCTTTTAACTAAAAAACAAAAACCAATAGTTTAAATTTTTAATAAAATTTGATTATATTATATTTAAGAAAAAAATAATGACAATGATCATTATAGAGTATTATAATATGTTATTATTGCAATCACAGTTGAAAGTGTATAAAATCTCAAGACATAAAAACCTATTTATTTAATTATTATAAATTTTGTCTTGAAGATATACAATAATAAAAAATGATTAGGAGATAGGAATATTAATACAAGAAGAGAAGGAAGCTAGAACAGAATTAGTTAAATCTAAATAGAAGATATATAAGAATAAAAAACAATTTTCAGATACAGAATATAAAAAAATAATTAGAATATAAAAATATTAATACAAAAAAGGAAAAAGAAAATATAAAAAAAAAGATGATAAAATCAAACACATAAACCTAATTGAAGACAAGACATGTCCTAGTTCAAATTTTGGATATATTAAACTAATTAAAAAATATACAGTTAAGTATAAGAAAAGATCTGACTAACTACTTCTAAAAGTACCTTAGTTGAGTTTATGAACATGAATGATGAGATAAAAATTTTCTGCAAAGTAAAAAAAAAACTTTTTAAAAAAAGAAAAAAGAAGTATCTTCAGAACTAAAAAAAAAAAAAATAAAAAGAAAAGAAAAGATTGAAAATATAAAAACAGAATAAGAATGACTAAAAGAAAAGTAGAAAGAAGAAAGGAAAGAATAAAAATTATATATTATAATATGAATAAATCAAAACTAAACATTAAAAATTTAGACACTTATTTAGCTAAATAAAAGAAGAAATTATAATATTAGAAATTATAGAAATCAATCTCACTGAAAAAGAAGAAAAATTTTTAACATGTATTATAAACAAAATATATAGAATACTAAGTAAGTATAATAAAAAAAAAAAATTAGGTATAAAAATTTTAGTAAAAAAATAATAAGAAAAACATATATTATTAAGAAAATAAATGATTATATATATAATAAAGATTATACTAAAAGGGTGTAGTAACCTAGTGAAGTAGTCAGGTTGTCAACCCTCCAAGTGATAAGTTGAGTGTTCAAATCTCATTGATGGTGAAAATTTGAATAATTACCTATGTAATATTTATATTACAGTAATTGTTATTAATAATTAGGTTAAATTACTTGTAATGATGGTTACATCAGCATGACTAGCAGGTCATAAGGCATCTGTGCAATGTTGAAGTTATACAAAGAAATGCAAACTGACAAATCAGATGGTGCAAATACTAGTTAAGTTCTTGTGATCATGTAAATCTATTAAAATTGGTAACAAGAAGTCTATTTGAGAAGATCTAAGTAGAGAGATAGCTGGATCTTTGACAGTCTTACTATAAAAACTAGTCTGGTAAAATAGATACCAAGATTTAGTATCTAGTTATAGTAGCCAGATGGGCAAGAACCTTTAGATTGGAAGTCTTGAGGTATCACCAACCAGACTATCAAAATGAATCAGAAAAAAAAGATATTAGACTAACTCAATATACTAATGAACTGATTGTAGTCCTATATAGGCTATCTGGATTAAAAGTTTGGTAAAAAGGCAGATAAAAAGGCAGAGGTATACTAAAGTACTAGGATTATGCTGTAAAGTAGATGCTGTGATCTAAGTGAACTTTACAAAAACATAGAAGTTTAATAGTTAAGCTCTGATCACAAGTGTTGGTTCTGCTATAGCAATACCTAGATCAACTGTAAAAATAGGTACAGAAGGCTCTAGAGAATTTATTTCAAAGATAAATTATTTCTAAGATTAAGATAATGATCTGGACATCTAGGTATGACCTAGTGAGTTAATACAGGTTACAGATTTAGAGGGTTTAAAGTAAAACATCCAAGCAAAGGTGTTAGATATGACAATTAATAAAGAACCTTCAGACAAACTTCTTAAATAAGTAATATAGAAAAGTTACATATTTAGTTAATTGTATTCTCTTTTATAGTGGTTCATTGAATTATATTACCATTAAGTAATTAATAAAAATCAAAAGACTAAAGAGGTCACCTTAACACTAAAAAAAAAAAAAAGATTATACTATATATTAAGTAACTAAAACTAGTAGTAATAGGAATCTATATACTATTAAGTAACAAAAAAATAAGAAAAAATATTCAATAAAAAATTGTAAGAATAGTTTCAAAAAGAAAAAAATAAATACAAATTGTTTTTATAAGAAACTTTAACTATATATCAAATAATATACTAGATAGATAGAACTTATAAACAACAAACTTTAAAAGATTATTGATTTTTAATTAAATGAAAAAACAAGATTTCTGTAACATATATAGAAAAATGTATCTAATAAATCAAAAGTATATATAATCAAATAGAGAAGTTGTAACAAGAATATACTATATATGAATGTTAGCTAAATTGGCTTTAGGTTTACAAAAAATAGAAATTAAAGAAATATAAAAAGTTACAAAAAATAATTATAAAATAATAATAGCAGAAATATAGATTAAGTATATAACAGTAAAGTAGAGATTAAGAAAAAAAAACAATTAAGAACATTATATTTGTATAATCAAGTAAAAGTAGAAAATTGAAAAAACTATACACAAGAGTTACAAAAATAACTTAAAATAAAAAAAATATTAAAAGACAACCAAAAAAAGAACAAAAGAGAAAAAGACAAATAAACAGAATAAATAATATATAAAATATAATAAAAAAAATAATTATTATAATAGTAAATAAACTTATACTGAAAAAAAATATACAACACAATAACAAACAGAAAAAGTAACCAAAAAAAACAATATCAAGAAAAAGATTTTTTTTTTAACTTTTTGGCAGTCTTGCTAAAATTCTTTATTAAAAGAATTACATATATAATTATACAAATATTAGCTTAATTTTTAGGTTTGATATTCTTAGCTAATATTAGTGCTTAGAGGTGATCTGCTGTACTAGAGTAAGTTTATACTCATTACTAAAAAGTTATTTAGACTAGCCTTTGAGGTTGTTCAAGTAAGACCTCTTGTTATTACTAATTAACTTTTTAACTATATTCCTTTATACATTTTCTATATTTTTATTTTTTGTTTTCTTTTTTTTCTTTATATTTTTTATTTATTCTAAGTTTTTGTTTCTTGATTTTAATAAAACTTTGTACAATACTTTGTTTTATTGTTATATTACTTTATTTTTGTTTCTTTTCTTTCTTGTACTAATTTCTTAATTTTTTTCTTATTTAGATACTTTACTGCATCTTTTTTTCCAAATTTTTTTGTAAAATTTATTCTATATAGTATTTACT